TGCTTCTTTGGGGGAGAGGTGGGGAAAGACGGATGACGGACCAAAAAGGAAAAAACTAAATATAAACAGGAAATAAAGGACGGACGATCTAATGAAGAAGCTGAGAAATATGAAATTAGGCCCTACCAGTCATCAGCCCCCCTAAAAATCAGCTCTTTACTTGCAGATGTGATACAGCTTCCTATGGCATACAGATGGAAGGAGGGAGGTCCAGGAGCAGGAGCTTAGAGGAATTTTTTATTCCAAGCCAATGATTCAGAAGGAACTAGAAGTATGTATTTGGAAGAGAAATTATTTGAGCCTTTTATCCACACCTAATGGTACTACCCAAAAGATAAGACCACATGCTGACAGGTAGCAGTCTGGTTGTCATCTGTATAGAGGTAAACTGTCAGGGCTGTCTCATATCTTGTGTTTAAAAATAAGTTGTGGAGGGGCACCTGGGTGGCTCAGTCAGTTAAGCACCTGCCTTCCACTCAGGTCATGATCCCAGGGTTCTGGGATCGAGCCCCACATGGGGCTTCCTGCTCTTTGGGGAGCCTGCTTCTCCCTCTCCCTCTGCCTGCAGCTCCCTTGCTTATGCTCACTCTGTCTCTTTGTCAAATAAATAAATTAAATTAATATATGGGGGTGGGTGGAGAAAATGTCAACTCCAAAAGCACTGAAAAGCAAACACTCAAGCCCACTACTTAGTTCCTGGAGGCAAAGGTGTTACATTCCACCCCCTCTCTCCCTCTCACACCCTCTGAGCTGCTTTCTTCTTCCGGGGATTTGCTTTCACTTCCAGGGCTGTAGATGTTGACTTCTCAGGACTCCTCCAGTTTACATTGCCACAGATTACCCTGAAAAAGCAGCCAACTAAAACAGCACAAAGAAGATTCTTTCTTCTCAACAGATGGAAGAAGTAGAATGAATTTTTTTTTATTTTTAGGATTCCTTTGTGATGGAGGGGTGGGGAAGGGAAGCATCTTATTGCTCTAAATCCTCCCCTCTGTAAGGTATCCTTTTTAACACCTTTTCCAGTGGTTTTTAAAGTAACCCATGGCTTCCTGTGACTTTCACATTACCCAGACATCACCTACCCAGAGCCAGTTCACCCTGAATACAACTCAAGCACCAGCAGGAATATAAACACCAACATCAGCACGGGTATCGCAGACACAGGGAGGAAATACCAACACCAAGAAAAGAAAAACTTGGTGAGGGCAGCTTGTTTATTAGGATTTATCTCCAAAGCCTGGTTTGTCTCCTCAAGGTACAGGATTCCTGACAACAAAACCATCATTTAACATTATCTGCAAAGGTGCTTTCAGAATTTGAAGGGGGAAAATAACTAGACCACAATAAAGAACGAGAACAACACTCAAAGCCAGGGTAAGCATGACTCAATACATTTACAGGGTAGATGTTTATTAAATTACAGTTCCCTTTAGAAAATAGGGAAAATTTTTACACAATCTGTGGCTTAAGAGCTCCTCGGTGTTGGTTTCAAAATTTTCTTCTTACATTTTTTTTTTTTGGAAACTATGGAGTCTCTTCCATTTGGACTGTCATGTTAGAGCCTCATTTCAAGGTCCTTACCCCTTACTGCAGAATACTTATCAGCCCCCTAGTAATCAAACAAAAGTCGAGACTGTATTCATTCTTTCCGAAACATATTTTCTTTAATAAACTTGCTACTGAACATCTGAGGCAAGTCATCTACCAAGGAATGGCCACTTGGCCCTGTACTACCCGCTCTCAATATGCAGAGTCTACTTAATGAGGGGAGTAATTTTCAGAATGAATTAGAGATGGAGACCCTGCATAGGCAGAAGGCTATAGGGATGGTCCAGACAGATGTGCACAACAGCATAGCAAAATCCCCACCTAAAGTAGTTTAAATAAGAACATGCATCACCTCACGTGACAGAAAAATTTGGAGGCAGGGCTGTATAAGGCCAGAGCAGCAACTCTAAGAAGTCATGTGCCAACTATCCCACGCCCTCTCACAACCATGTCAAATAACGGGGAAAAAAGTGGTTTTCTGCCCTGGATCTCTTTGTGAGGGAGGGAAACCTTTCTCAGAAGCCCCCAGCAGACAGTACTGGCCAAACCTGGCTCACATACCCATGCTGTAGGAAATTGGAAAAATGTGACTTTGGCATTTTTCAGCCTCTAAAATAGGCTCTTTGCTTAAAAAAAAAAAAAAAATAGTTAATAATCTTTTCTAACTGAAAAAAATCAGCATTACCATTGGGCTACTGAAACAAACTTAAGGTCTTAGAAACAACCTAGCTTGATTGAGGATTTGTTATTTTTCCCCCATTCCAAAAATCCAGCTTAGCTACTTTAGGGCTGGTTTGAGCATTAATATTTCTAAAGAATTTTCAGATTATCAACTGCAGGCATCAGTGCTATTTTCAAAAATATTAATGCTTCTCCACAAAACAATCTCAAAGCAAAGTCTAAGGCTAAATTTATAACAAAACTTTATCTGACACAAACACCCCCATGCTCTCTAGAATAATTCATCTATAAATTTTGATGGTTTTTCCTCAGAGAAGATTTTTTGTCCTCATTAACCTCAATACACTGGTATGACAAAGTCTGTATCTAAGAGTTAATGTGTTTCTACTTCCAGAGCAAAAATAGATGACTGGTCAGCTTGAACTTTCTAGAATGTTAACCAACCGCCAAATTATTCAGCATCCTCCTAGGAAAAGCCATGATCCTCCACACACTAATTAAATGAGTGAATGCTTTAATCATACTTTAGATAACTAATCTATTTCAATCCTGATAATCTAATTATCTAATTCTAGTAAATAAATTCCAACCTCAGTCCAAAACGATTAGAGGATTAAAGTTTACAATCAGTGTATGCAAACTGAAATAGATCCACTCTAATGAAGTTCAAAGCAGTTTGCTCTAAAAAGTCTGTTTATTATCTGAAATTCAAGAATTAAAATGCATTATTATACCAATGTTTTCTAAACCAGTTCTAACTAATATAGTATCTCTTATAATTTTATTAAGTGAATTTATGTTCTTTGGATTTAAAATTGTCTAATAGGGAAGTCATCCCTGATCGCTCCGTGTGACAGTTACAGCACAGGGAGGGGTGCAGAGACAGGTAAAAGCAGATAATGGGAATTAAGAGTACCCTTACCAGAAATGAACTCTGAGTAATGTTGGAATTAGTGAAACCTCTTGTACATCTGAAACTAAGGTAACACTCACTGCATGTTAACTACACTTCAATAAAAAAGGAAAATAACACCATCTCCACGTCCCCTATATGTTTTTTCCACATCGCATTTCATTTATCATGTGTGTTTGTGTGTTTCTGTTACGTGTCTTATGTTCCTCCGTAAGTCACCATGATTGACCATCTTGGTACTCCAACTCCAATGCCTGGAACATTGCCTGATATACAGACACTTAATAAATGTGATGCAGACTCACTAATGGTCAATTTGTATTTTCAAAAATATAAGTCAATGTCCATCAATAATCACAGTGTAATGATTTCAACAGCAAGAACAAATCACAAAGAAAAAACAAGAAACAATTGCTAACAACCACCACTGCTACCAAAAGAGGCAGCCACAGGTATAAAACCTGTTATGTTCCACTCATGAAATAAACAATTTTTTTAGTATTTTATTTACTTGACAGAAAGAGAGAGCATGAGCCGGGAAGGGGGTGGGGGGTGGGGGGAGATGGGTGGGGAGAGGGAGAAACAGGCTCCCCACTGAGCAGGGAGCCCGTGGGACTAGATCCCAGGATCATGACCTGAGCTGAAGGCAGATGCTTAACAGACTGAGTGAGCCAGGACCCCCATAAACAATTAAATTCTAACAACAAGCCTGTGATATAGCTCTAAGTCCCATCTTGTGGAGAAGGATGTTGAGAATCAGGTAAAATAAGATGCCCAGTATCAAAGGGATGATAAGTCAATCCACAACACAAGTGCTCTCTTAAGTGATATCCAGGGACCAGTAAGGGGCAAAAGCAATTTTTGTCACAATAGAAGGAAACAACACCCATCTACATAAGGAACCAGAAAAAGTACAGTACTCTGATTTCTACAACTCAACATCAAACTGCAGAACATGAGGCATGCTTAAAAATTAAACATCACTTGAGTCTGCTTTCTAAAAGAAAATCCTCCAGGTCACTGACTGGTCTAGTAGATAAATAGAGCTTACGTATAAGTAACTTACATTCTTGTAACTTGGCCTTTGGTTAAAGTATCCAGTGAAAACTACAGCGTATTAAGTTATTCTTCTCCAACCAATTCTGTTTTAAATTCAGCCAAAATCATTTTCTACTGTCTTTCTGATTGCTTCTTCATTAGCTCCCGTTTTGTAGACTTCATCCCATCCATCAATTCAATTTCTATATGACTGGTCAAGCTCATTTGTTGTGCCATAAAATAAATCTAATTGACTCTGCATGCCAGTCATGGTTTCTTAGACATTTACTCATTACTTCCACCCACATATTTCATGTTTCCTTGGAAAACTGGCAGCCACGTTGGAGGCTTAATGCTCTTTTCAACGTCTAATGTTTATAATTTGTTACGAGATAATTTTATCCATAGGGAACCTCACATTAAAGATATGCCTCTCAGCCACTATTATGTGAACTGATTTAGGTAGTTAGAGTAAAATCGGCCCTCCTTTTCTATAATACAAATATTATCCCAATTTATAAGTGACATCAGAGATCAATAGCCATCCTAATCCACTTTCCTTAACAAGGAAAGAAGTCTTGGAGGAAACCAACCCAGTCCATGTTCCTCATCAATGTCAGGGGCTAAAAAACAAAAGCAGTCTTAGAAGGTACGAGAAATATTTTTAAATTAAATAAACATCCTACTTGTGGCCTTTATACATTCAAAAGCCCTGTGATTCCAGTTGCTCAAAAATTCAAGCACTTCGTTAGACAAATGTGTTGTTTTCCACACTATAACACGGTTCAGCAGTATTTTTCAACTTGACAGTTTTACTTACTGTCTTGGAAGCAGTATTAATGTACTGCATCACCATTTCTTTTTTGATGCTGAAGTCCTTTTCCCGCAATGGTGCCTTTTTATCTTCATTTAAATTCATATCTTCCTGGAAAACACAATTAAAAAGCCTCATTTTAGAATCTAAGCAGAGTAGCAATTCTACATACCCTAGGAATGGAAAAATCAATAATTTGTGACTAAAGCAGCATTAATTGTTTTGGAATGATTTACACGTAGTTCTGCCTGGAGAAAAGAAAGAGCAGGAAATACAGACAAAAACATGTTCTAGATCATTTTAACAGGTAAAACACTTACCAGAAAGTCTTTTTAAAATTCACAGCAAGCTAGTAAAATTACATTCTCGTCACTACAGATAATTAGACACTTAGATTAGATTTCTACCTTTCAAAAGTTCATCCAGAGTCACAATTTAAATACACACACACACACACATACACACCCACAAATGCAACACACACTATAGTTTTGTTTTGTTTTTTTGTTTTGTTTTTTTAAATAGCTGTACCTGAAGCTATCTTGCACTATTTCTGAAAGAGCTGCTCCATGTATCAAAAATTAAAAGGTAAATAAGCCAACCACTTTCCAGATTGTGTAGCTACAAGCTCATATGATCAAATACTTGGTATAGATCCTGGCAAAAGGCAAAGCATTCTATAGTGGCTCTTGTCTACCCATATCAAAAATATCCATTAACTACCTAGTCTATTCTGTGTTCTAAATCATCTAAGAGTTGTACTCATAAAAAGAGGTACCACCCAAAAAATCTAACATTTCTCAACAGCACCCATCAAAATAAAGATTTAAGTAACCTAGATCGTGCTACAGGTCTCATTTTAACTTTTAAAAATACAAGTCAAGAATGCCCACTTAAATGTGGGAATTGCTACAAGCTGTCTTATTTAGAGGCTGCTCTGGCAAAGAAAAAGGAGGCTACAGGGAGACAAAAATGACTGAATTAAAAGGACAGCTCAAATGGATTTCCTCCAGATACTAGCCCTTGGTCATGTGTGATATGCAATATAACACACCTGAATGTATACCAACCCTATAGCCACTCAGAAACAGGTGTATAAAAATCAGAACTTTGGATCACCTGTGGAGTCCAGCAGGTTAAGTTTTTATAAATGTTTTATGAAAGTGCTACAACTCATCAGACACTGTTATTTACGCCTTGAGCTGACTCCGTTTTTGGCTACTAATCCCTTCAAGCACTTAAAAGTCAAAATTTCCTTCATTTCACTTTGATATAAATATTTAAGATTTTAGAAGTTGTTCCACTTGACCCTAATAAAAGGTACTATTAGTAATGTCACTCCTGCCCATTCAGGTTGGAAATATCTTATTATGTGAATAATGTTTGTTTTGTTCTCCCTCTTTTTTCTTCTTTTTTACTTTATGCCAGGGACTCTAAATAGGCCTTAATACCACTTAGGATTTTAAAAATATCTTGAAATATTTTGGTTGTCAATGACTGAGATGATGCTATCAGCATTTATTAAGGCGTGCTAGACATTCTTCAACACCTGGGCTAATCCTGCATGATAAGAAACTATTCTGTGTCCCACAGACAGATGCACAAACCAAAAAAAAAAAAAAAAAAGAGAGAGAGAAGAAGAAGGAAGAAAGAAAGAAAAAGAAAAAAAAAAAACACAAAAACTTCCTAAGCTTTGACTAATTCAATAGAATTAAATATAAAATGGAATTAATATGTAAATTGTTACTGATTAAATACTTTGCAGTATGTGGTTTTAATAGACATTGGTCTTTCTAAGAATCCAACTACTCTGCAAGTTATAGTTATACTGGCTTTTTGTTTTTGTTTTAAATAAGCTTTGCCATCAATTGTGCTCAATTTTTATAATTTGGGTATCCCAGGAAGACACTGGTTGTTGTATCTGAATCACCGGAACAGCAAAGCTATGTTGACATGCACAATAGCTATTATTTTTTTTTTAAAGATTTTATTTATTTATTTGACAGAGAGAGAGAGATCACAAGTAGGCAGAGAGGCAGGCAGAGAGAGAGGAGGAAGCAGGCTCCCTGCTGAGCAGAGAGCCCGACGTGGGCCTCGATCCCAGGACCCTGAGATCATGACCTGAGCTGAAGGCAGAGGCTTAACCCACTGAGCCACCCAGGCGCCCCACCACAATAGCTATTATACTCACGTGAAGCAAAGATTCAAGAATGACTTTTTTGTACCTTCCTGACCAGTCATGGCCAATTGCTTACATTGCAATGTATGTGGTTGTATTATGCAGTACAGTAAGACATTAAATGTATTTTAAAATTATGATTGTAGATGGCTTCTACTACCTATAAAGACTTTCACTGGAAGAAAGTAATGGGGAAGTTACAGGGAAGTAACGGGAGTAGTTGCTCTAAAAAGGCAAAGGACATGAGAGTACTGAGAACCTCTGTCTTTAATTATTCACTGTATTTTTTATTTTCTGTCCAACGGGCAAACATGACTCAGCCTCTTTACCAGCAAATTAAAATATTTAGTAAATACAGAATATGAGAAAAACTACAAAGTCTAATGCTTTCTTTTTGGAAAGGTATATTCAAGATGACAGCAGCTCAAATAAAAAGGGGTATATTTGGAATTAAGGAAGAAACCCAGAGTTTTCCCAGCCCGTTTCCTCTGCCATACCCCAACTCTCTTGTCTAAATACAGCACTCGCTTCATGACAGTACCAATTTAAAAGCAAAAGGGAAACAAGAAAGGACACTAAGAAGTCTGGAATCAGCTACACAGTACCACAGACCCTTCTCATTTGGCAGGTAACTCTCTATTTGATCAAAAAAAGAAATTCTGCCACTTACAAAAGGAAATTCAGGAGCACTGAAAAGGAAAAATATATTTTTGTGCATAAAAAGTACAAAATTTAGCTCTACAAAGAAAAAGACTGAAAGAAGAGAGACCTATTGGGCATGGACACTGGATTTGGGGGGTCAGGGGCTACAAAGTCCTTGGGAAATGTAGTAGAAGCTTTTTCCAAAACAAATGCACATCTATGTTATAGTGGGAAAACAAAATTTCCTTCCACCCTTTATAGGTTTTTCTAGTTAATTAAAGAATTAAGTTCTCATGAGCCAGATTAATGGGAGAAAATCACACACACGAAAGATTTCAGGACAGAAAGGTAAAATGAGGCTTATATGCCATACTGAGGTAAGGAATGGAACAGGAGCCCTGGGTTTCAAGGGAAGGAGGGCAATTCACAGGCGGTAAGAAAAGTTTGGTAATCAGATAGTTGTCCTCCTACACAGGTCACTCAGATAAAACTTCTCTCTCATAACTCCTCTCTGGGAAAGGCTCCCAATTTAGATTCTTCTAGGTGGTTCAGAGAGGGGAAAAAATCTCTCTCGAGCCCGTAGGGTCTCAAATGCCTTCAGCTCAAATAGTGCACATGTCAAAGTGACACGTTTTGGGGAAACTTGCTCTGAACCACTTCAGTGTTTTTGTGTTTAATTCCAGAGGAGCTAAGCTGAGCATTTCTGAAGGCTATCCCAGAAACTGGAGTGGGGAAGTGGGGTTCAGGAGGAACCTAGCATCTCCATGTAACAACCTCCTGTCTTAGGGGAAAATCTTCATTGTGAGAATTTGATTTTCATATCATCTACACTCCATGAATTACAGAATAGAAAATCCAGGCTCACAAAAATCAGATGACTTTTCAGGTATAGCTGGTTATTTGAAACTCGAGACCCGGAGCCCCGACTTCCAGTCTAGTGCAGCTTCCAGGTAATTCTAATAGGTCCCTTGAAAGCAAGTCATCATTTTTATGTTACTCAGTTTATACCTGTCCAAAATGATCACAGAGCATCTCTACTACCTTAGGTCAGGTTTCCTAGAGGTAGAGTATGAGACAGGGATTCTGGTGCAGAGGACTAATGGAGGGGATGCCTTCATGATAGTGAATAAAAAAAAGCAAGACAGAGCTGGGGAAAGACACATGTGAAAATGTTGCCTCAGCTGGTCTTGCTCCAGCCCGAATTGCACTGCTATCAGTACTACCTAGAGCGAGAGGGCAGTTGTACACCTCCACATCAGTCAGTTAGCTACAGGATCATAGTTCCCGGAGGCCAGATCTCTGCAGAGGGCAGCTGTGAGCCACTAGGAACCAATATGAATCAACTGGGGTTTGCATGCACCAGCCTGGTAAAGGGTGTCTTGTAGGGGCACAACAGCACCCACAACACCTTTTGAAAACAACTTACTGTATAATAAGTCTTATTTTTAAACAGAACCAAATAATACAGAAACTCACATACAGGGCCTCAACAAGCAATACAAACCACAGTATGAACCAATTCTTCCATTCAAACATAGGTTGGGACATCTACTACACTGTGTAGGGACAAAAAGATAGTTCAGGAACAGATTTTAAGAGATTCCTGAAATGTGATTTACTTCAATGTATCAAAGTACTGAGACATATGTATGTAATTCATTAAATATTATAAATCAAATACTGAGCAGGAAATACAGAGAACACGTAATTGCAAAAGACCAGATGAGTAATTTGAATAAGGCTAATATTTAGTGGATAGTAGATAAAGTTTTCCCACTTCTAGTTTTCAGTTGGCTATTTAGGTGACTAGATCTCAAAAATATCCTAGCAGTTATCAAATCAAAACTGTCTGAAGAGTATTGTTGTTAATGTTCTATAAATATCTTAACATACATTATAAAGTAACTCACTTATAGTGCTACCTTCATACACATGTTGAGACACGGTTTTGCCTGGGAAAACTGGGAGTTGCAACATCAAAAACTAATTTTCCTTTAGTTAATTACTTTCTAATTAAAAACTATACCTTAATTGAACCACTGTGCTATTTTACTATGCGAGTCTGACTGGAACGAAGGATAGATTTTAGAAACAGAAAAAATGCTGCAGAAAAGAAATCCAAATGAAGGAGCACTCTACAAAATAAGGATTCTTCTCAAGTATAAAGGTCATGGAAGATAAGGAAATGTCATTGATTGGAGGAGATGAAGGATACATGGTAATCTGAACTCAAGGCATGATCCTGGATTGGATCCTAGAACAGAAAAAAATGCAAGTAGAAAAACGGGCA